TTCGAGCCTAGGCCAGTCTAGGATTCTATGATTCACAATTTCCTTTATGTTCCTTAGCAGAATAGACAGTATTTGTATTTAACTGGTAACTCTTCCTACCTAAATGATATCAAGCAGTCAGCATGATTCTATTGCCAGTGAACACATCCACAAGGCAATGAAATTAAACCGATGATTTACCGTTTGGAGGCAAACTCCAGCTGCGTGGATATCTTCGCATTTTGTGACCTCAAGTCCGTGACCTGCTCCTGAAGCTTTTCATTCTGTTCATTCAGCAACTTGTCATTCTCAGCCTTTTCTTTTTTGTAGTTCTCAAAAACTTCCTGCAACTACAACAAAGAACAGACATCAAAGTGCTTACAAGAGTAAAAAGAAAGTGACAGCTTTCGACAGCATGTATTGAGAAGCATACCTGCTTAAGGGCAGCCTTAGCCTCCACAGTCTCCACTGACTCAGTCATTGACACTGGAGCAGGAGTTGACATGGCTTGAGGTAAATTCGGGCGTTTTGGAGTAGACATAAGAGAAATGTCCTCCGGTAATATACCTGAAGCTAACAAAAACAAACAAATAAACAAACAAAAAGATAAATGGGATTTCAAAGGCAACAGTCAAACAAATGCTTACCAAAGCAGAAGATCATACAGCCGCACCAAAATATGGTTAAAAGCAGTGCTGTACTGCTAGGAAAGTCTTGGGCTCTCCTGAACAACTCATTCTTTACACTTACAACATGCCACCAGAACACATGCAGTGGCTACTGCACATATGTAGCAAGTGGCGAGTAAGGGTAAAAGTTAAATCCCATATTACTGGTTACTAGTAACCAGTAGTTAGTAGTACCGTTACAGCACCACTACTGAAAACTCAAAACAAATTGCAACTTTTTTTTTTTTTTCCCAATGGTGCAGGAATGTGAAGTTTACCTTGCAAAGGAATGATAGCTCCTGTGGTCTGTGCCAACAATATACGGAACATATCACGTTGCCGAACTATAGATTCGACAAGCTGCAGCTGATGATGACGTGATTCACGCAATTTTTCTAGCTCATTGAGAGCTTCCTCAAGCTGATTGTGAAGCTCTGAAATCCTGAAACCAACAACAGATGTTTTCAGTTACACCACGAGGCATACCAAGATGACACAACATTAAGTTTTGTCACAAGTCCTTAAGCGCACATTTATAGCATCTTTGAACATTAAGCACCGCTGAGGTTTTTGAGCAAACTTATAGGAAGGCTGGCCTTTGGGTTTGCCATTTTGTAGACGACAGCGATAGCAGGCCATGAAAAACAGAGCAGAAGCAGTCCAATTCGTGTAACTTCAAACAGCAGTCAATAGCATACGTAGAGAATTAGGCCAAGAGCCCTTAATACAGAATTACATTCTCTGTGGGCTTTACAGCTGGTGTTTAGCTAACAGGAACGAAAACTCATCTTTCTTTTTGGAGCAACAGCTCTGTTGTGTGAAATCATGTTCACTAAAATACCAACAATTACTTTTACTTTGCATTTACTATTTCAAGATAAATAGCTATAATGCCATTTTAATCTAAACCTGAAGACAGTGTTGCTTAATACCAATTTGCCATTATGAATTACGTAGCTGCTCATGAGCATACATGCACTTACATATGCAGACGCGCATGATTAATAACAATCAAAAGCACAAAAATGAAAAGTGTTCAAATAAATTCCTGTTACTACTTAGTACAAAACCAGTGTTACTAGAAGGAACAAACAACTAACTTGGATGACGTTGCTTCTTGCTCCTCTTTTTCTCTAGCCTCTCCCAGCTCCCGAAGAGCCACCAAGAGACGCTGGTTCTGCTGTTGAAGTTCTTCGATATTTCTGTAAGAGACTAGATGTTGAGATATCACTTCAGAAGAGCTGCTGATGTCGGCAGAGCTCACTTCTTCATCACGAATCACATGATTGCCTCTAGCTTCTTCAAGTTCCATTAAAAGCACACGAATCTAAAAGAGAATGGCCTAGTGTTAGACTTGCACCGACTCAAAAGTTTGCTCTCAAAAACAATACATTAAAGTACTCAGAAATCAAGTATTTTTTTCCTACAACACACAAACTTATAATCAATAAATCCTTGTAATTATAGAAATTCCTTGTAATTATAGAAAAAACAGTTTGACAAACGGAAACCACATTAAGATAAGTCTGTGTTCAGTTCTGTAAAGAGATTACAGGACATTCCAATCAATCAATGAAGTTCTACATGTAGGTTTTCCATATCAGATGTTTAATGACATTATCCTAAAGTAGCATCACTTCTACCCAGCTGAACTTACTCCAGCATTGTAAGCAGAAATGTAAATACCATGTTGTCCTAAGGAGAATCTTTTAACATTGCTAAGACTCTTATAAGAACCAAAGTCAACATGACTGTGGCTACACAACCTCTGAGGAAATTTGAGAAACACAGCATCATATCAATAAATAAACTGCAAACGGTACATTTGATCACAGCAGCATTTGTTATACCTGCTGGGAGAGATCTTTAACTTGTATTTCCAGTCTCTGGTTTTCTCTTTCAAGCAGAGAGGCATGCTTATTGGCTCTATCAGCATCCTCCTGCAAACGCTGGATTTCCTGTAAGCATACAAACATGAAGAAACACACAGCAATTCAGCTCAGACACATTCCTTTGCAGAGAGAAAACATCACATAGAGACATGCCTTGTGACACAAACTGCACTTGGCTACTTTCAAGTTACACTACACATATCCAGGAATCAAAAGCCACCCTCTTTCATGATTTATTAGTGTATGTATTAAAATTAATGGGAAGTGACCACCAAAGTCCAATTTTACGTCTTTGGACAGACAAATGCTAATTTTTTTTTTAAAGAATTCCACTTTCTCACAAAAATCAGAGATTGCAAGTCACCACATTTAAGCCTTCACTATAAGCAAAACTCTGAAAAATGTTGGTTCTATAAAAGACTTTGTGCAGTCCAATAAAGGGCAAGCTAAGAAGTTCAGCGGGTATTTTCCTACAATAAAAGTTGACTAAAAGATCCATTTTATACATTTACTAACAGCCACTAGATTAAGGAATTAAAAATACTTTTTTTCCGTAATTTTACATGCTTTTTTATTTTATACTGACCTTCATTGCTTGTTCAAGCTTTGCAGACAGACTAGCGACAGCTTTTTGGGAACGCTCAAACTCTTCACGCTGACGTTTTAAGATTGGTGCTTTGGCTTCTACCTCCTGCACTATTTCATCCAAATATTTATTGATTCTCTTATTCTCCAGCTTTTCCAAAAGCAACTGATCCTGAGTTTCTACATACGCGTTGTACAGCTGCAACAAAAGATTTTATTGTTTAGGGGGTTTTTTAATTTATTTTTGATACATCTGGGCAGACCCACTGGTAATTACATAATTCATACCTTAAGGCAGTAACATTTTACACAGCTCTAAACTTGTTAATTCAGAGAGATAAGTTGGACTTCCAAAACAATATGTTTTTAAAAGTCATACCATGGCAAAGCAATTATCTCTATTAATCTAAAAATGGCAAAATTTTAGACTGCAACCGTACACAACAAAAGAATTCGATGTAAAAGGGACAAATCTTAATTAAGTCTAAGGCAATAGAAACATCAAAACTAGTATCACAAAAGAATACAGCAAACACAGGAGAAAGAAATGTAATGGCTGGAAAGAACAACCAAGAACAAAAAAACCCGAAAATACAAACTGCATAAATACAAGTGTAAATAAAAATCCCTAGAATGTGTATGACCTATCATTACGCTATTTTTTTCTGCAAGTAAAGCCAAACTTGCAGCAGGACAGATAAAAAAGTTTTTTAAAAAAAAAAGCTCCTGACAAAAATTCGTGCAGAAAATATTTTTATGTACACAAAAGAAATATATTTCAGCAAAAGTATTCAAAGGCCCTATAAATGTTCTGATCTACTAAAGAAAAACTGCAAGGTATGTTGAAAAAAGAATCTCAACACCTTTGCTAATAAGCATATGAAAAGATGTCGTCTACTTCAGTCAGGCATTATACCAAATCCAAAACAGTGAATGGAATGAAGTCTGCATCCTTTTATCATTAGCACATCTCCATCAGGATTTCAAGGGCCATGAAAGTGAAGTTTCTCCTCACTTACCTCTGTTAATTTCATTCCAGGCTTGACCACTTTAGCTACCGCTGCAGCAGTGGGGGACATGGCTGCCAGCTCCTCCTCCGACAGTATGGCTCCTAAGAGATAATCCCACCATTTCACATTAAAAAGCTTCAATGATTCCCAGCATAAACATTCCTCATTAATACAAAGAATGTCTTCATACGCCTTGGTGCTTTTATAACTTCCATATTTCAAATTGCTACTTTAAGCCCTTAAAGTCACTGGTTCAAGAGTTTTCTGTAATCCATATTACACATATACATGTGCAAGTGACTGGAATTACACACCATATTCCATCAGTGCATCTGACTAGTCCAATCTGCAACGCTGAAAAGCTTTTGCTATTAGACTCTTAAAACTCAGAAGACCATTTCCAAATGTAAGCAACCGAAATAGGTGGAGAAAAGCTTAACATTAGACTTCTTAGCAAAGTGCTGGAGGGTTAAAGTGGCAGAGCACTGGTTTACTTTCATTAAATTAACATACGGATACAGCAACTATCCTTTATTTCGCTCTATGCCTTCCTGCTCTGCTCCTTTCTTCCATTCAGAAATTACTTATATGTACTAAACTACTACTTTGAACAAAAAAAGATGAAAGTAGAACAGTGAGCACTGAGCAAGATTTAATGTTAAATAGAAATGTAAGGACAGAGGTTTGTTTACAGTTATTTGGCCTTTTTTTGTTTGGTTTGGTTTTTAAGAAGAAAGTAAGAACAGTTTATCATCCCCATTCCCCTCTCCAGAAAGCCCCTTAAAAGCATGACAATTCAGTCTCAAGGGAATGTTTTCTTTGAAAAGGTAAGTCAGATGAACATAAGAACAAAAACATGAACAAAAACATTTCAACAGAAATTGCATTTTCTAGTGGGGGAAAAGAAAAAGTATGTACTGTTATATATATATAGACACACAGGAAAAAGCTTCTAAAATTCACAATTAGAAATGACTAAAGGTGAAAAAAGATTAATGCGCTTACTTCCTATAGAAACCCAGCACAGTATTTTTATGCATGATATCCGAATACCTGAGGCTTTATGTATTTTATTTCCCAGTGTCATCCCTACCTTTGCGCTTTGTAGCGGACAGTAAATCGTTGGCATTCTCCAGCTCCTTTTCCAGTTTACTGATCTTCTCTCGCAGTTCCTTCTCCATTACAGCTTTTGACTCCTCCACCTCAGCCAAATGCTCCTGGGTTGCCTTATTAGCTAACATTAAATCAAGACAAGCAGTTTGCTGTGTTGCACACGTGAACCTTAAACTTAACTTTACATGATCTCCAAAATTTCCTGCTGATAAGAAAATTTGATAGCACGACAGAAGCATGAACTGCTGCCTATCACTTCTGCTTAAAGAGAGCAAAAATATGAACTGTCCTTTTATCAGGGAAAAGGAATCTAAAATGAGAAATTAAAACAAAGACATCTTTTGCAAAATGAGATCATCTCATCAAAATCCAAAGTAAAATTCCAGGTCGATTTAAACAATAGTTCTCTCTCCCCAGTAAATCCAACTAGTCACATAAATCTTTTCTTACAAAGTGTCTGATTCTTCCATCATCCCCAAAGTCTAATGAAGTTCCTTTCATAAACACACAACACCTATTTTTCAGCACATCAGAGCAGTTACAAAGGAGCACAATTGGTCTGGTCTGTTTCGTTTGCCATTGTCAGCTCCCAGCTTACCTTCACCTGCCTCCTTCAGGAGCTTGTGCAGCTCTTCTACCGCTCCTGTCAGTTCGTTGCTCTTTGCCTCCAAGTCATCAGCAGCGCTCTAAATAAAAGCATTTTATTTAACCTTTCAGTACGGAGCAAATACATTTTTATCAAAAAAGCTCAAATTGACCAGTAACTATGAACATACAGTTTTGTAAATAGAATGCTAAAACATTCACCTTCATGGGGAGACTTTCTTTCCACTTAAGTCTTACTCGGGTGCAAATTGCCTATCCAAGTGTCAGACATTGATTTGATATGACAAAACCAAATAAAAACATATGCCACTTCACTGCTTTATAGCTGGTGCTGCTTTTTCTCCTTCATTTAAATTTCAGATAGATTTCGAGTACTCCATTTTGATAATTCTGAAAAATTTGCTATTTTTAGGGAGTTTTATATAAACAGCTTATGTTTCTTTGGTCAGAGATCTCATCAGTGCAAGTTCTGCAAGTCCGTGACAGAGAACTCAAAGTCAATTCAACTGTTGTTAATCAGCAAAGTCTCAGAAAAGGCTCCCATGGGAGGGCACTTGAGGCTTTTAAATATCAGGTCAGATAAATATGTCAACAGCTCCAAATACACAGCAAACCTCACGCTAAGCAGAATACAAATCTTTAAGCCCCTTCAAATCAATGATTCTATAATTTAAAAAATTAATGATGAGAGTAGAAGAAAAATCACTCAAAAACAATAACTAACCCAATAAAAAAACCACCCAAATTAAAAGGTAAATGGTAATGCATTACAGTTCGGAAAAGTTAGCTATTGGCTTGTTCAGCAAAGGAATATCAGTTTACATCTAATCAAAGCATTCATGTAGAACTCGGAATTAAGCAAGGTGGAATGTTTATGTGGGGATCTATGCAAGAAAAGTCTGTAAACGGAACTCTTCACCCTGTGAATCTACATGCACAAACTAAAGAGCAATCAGGTGTCCTCTTCAGCATGCTTTGTCTCGGTCAGTGCGCTACAGGCTATTTTTCACTCTCTGAACCAAGAGACCAAACAGGAACTACTTGTTTTCATGGTGCTTATTTGACACAATCTATGACACTCAGTTGTGGGTGACGTGAAATGTTATTTGAAAGTAACTTCTACTAAGCAAATCCAGAAAAATCATTTGCACAGTCGTATTTTACTTTCAGACCTTTACTTCCCAGTACGACATTCTAAGACATAACCATAGATCACGAAGCCTCAAAATAGTAAGCATAAATTCATTGTTTTAGCTCCAAACTGGCCTGAATTACATTTAATGCTAAGATTCAGCCCCAAATAACACTAAAATATGCCTATAAGAGAACCAGTAAACTCACCTTATACAAATTGGATAGTTTTATGTGGGCATTCAGTTCATTGTGGAATCTTTCCTCCATACCAGCTTGCTGCTCTTTTGCCTAGTGAGAGAAGAAAAGAGGGTGGGGGAGAGCTCCACTAATTCTGTTTCATGCACTTCATTTCTTAATTTGTAGAAGCAACCATAATGCTGTTTCACACATGCTTCAAGTTGTCTTACCTCCTTCAGTTTATTCAAAAGCTCTTCCACATGCTTCTGAAGATTTTCATTTGATTGTTTTAAGCTGTTTACCTGTTCCTCCATTCTGGAAACCTGCTCAAGGAATAAGTGAGAACACCATGTATAAATGTGTCTTTCCAGTCCAGCTTATTGTGGAAAACATCCAACTTCTTCGTTTTTTACTTCAAAAAAACCCAACCCTGAAGTTCAAGAACGACCATAAATGGTTATATTTTCTAACAGTCTGAGCTCCCACGCATTCGCCAAATAAAACAGCGAGAGTCCTCAGACTGCTCCAATCACACAAAACCAAACAAATCCACCTGCCTCAGTGGAGTCAAGTGCCACAGAAAACCTGACCAGTGGTCACAGTTGTTAAAGAAACTGCTCAGGTACCCAAACAGAGGCTCACTGAAGCCAAGCGCTTTCAAAATACGGCCACCGATTCTGCCACATGTTTTGCTGCAGGAAGACAAAAGTATCATCACCCATGCCACAAAGAATTTTAAGTCAGATCCTTCTGCCTCTCCTCCTCGAAGAACTGTATTCTCCTGCATTTTAATAGCACTTCACTATTATATAGCTTTGTTATCAGGAACTCCAGAATTTGTACCTTGTAATTAAAATCTTTTGACTTTTTGATTCTCGATAATGGTATATAAACACCATACAATGCCTTCCTTAAAAATCAAAACTTAAAAAAAAAGAACATTTCCTTATTAGTTGCAAAACATACTTTTTTCCTTTTACTTGAATAGTTACTAATGCACTTGGGTTTGTTTAACACAGTTAATCAGGAGGTATCATTTATAAGAAATGGCAAAAGAACTCAGTAATTACACTACCTCCTCCTTCTTGTTCTCCAGACTACATTTTAGCTCCAAGATTTCATTGCCTTTCTCCCTGGCAGTATGTAGAAGCTCATCCGTTTTGGTTTTCAACTCAGCATTCAGCCATGTGTTTTGATTCTGCAGCAGTTCTTTTTCTTGCTCCAATCTTTTCTCACGGTACTAAAACGAAAATCGCAAAAGGTGAATGTACTGGTTGCACAGAAAATAAAGAAGCTAATCCAAGTATTATGGCCAGAGTAGCAGTGGCAAAAACATAAGAAACTTTACCAAATTATGGTATGTTATCACACTGGTAACACTAATTGACAAGTCTCAAACTAGAAGAACTTACTGAAACTTGAGTTAGTTTCCTCAAAGTTTACATCAGCTAGGAATGTTAATAAGATTAATACCTAGTTAAGGGAAATAAATTAAGTTATCAAAGCTTTCCAACTCCTTTCCTCCTCTCTTTCAGCTCTATGGACTTAACTCAGCGCACAAAGAAATGACCTATGTTCACAAACATTTTTCTCTTTTCTACTGGCTTTTCTGGGCCTGGAGTTCTTCTTCCTAGCCGGTAGGAGGAACCACCATTGAGACCTGCACATGCTTAGGCAACCTGAGGCCCCCTTGCCCTCAATAAATATGCCTCACTTCCAGTCACAGCCACCAACTGTATAATAAAACATTTGTCTGTACAGGAGTACACTCGACCTACTTTCAAAGTCAATACTGGCAAAACAATGATTACATCACATGTAAACAACTACTTATTAGAACATCAACATGGACTACACGTGTAAAGTACTATTTACCTTCATGGAAACATCTGATGTTTGAAGTTCATCCAACTTCAACTGAAGTTTCACCTTCTCTGTGTTTGCTTCTGTAAGCTTTTCATTTAGGCGTTTAACATCCTCTGGAGGAGGGAAATCAGTGTGAAAAAGGTAATTTTACAACAATTTTAACTATTCAGCTTAACTAAACTGTAAAAATGAGAACAGGCAAGACATTACGTACAGTGTGCATTAAAATGCTGTGTAATGTATGTTTTTATATCTACAAAACCAAGCATCAAACTGTTAAGTTTTTCTGTAACTAGGATAACACTTTCTACGTTGTTTCCTTTTCTCTAAATACTGTTTCCTGCTAATCCATTATTTGGTGCTGCCTATACAAACTGGATACTCCACTGCTGAAGTACATCTTATTTAGGAATAACAAGGAAAATATTTCACTGATGTGTTCTTGGTTATACCATTTAAATGCTCAACTTCCTGAGATCGTCTTTCACTTGTTCGAACCAAATCTCTCTTTTCAGCTTCAAGTTCTTCTTTTTCTCTTTTTAAATGGCTCTGGAAAAAAAAAATTACGAAAGAGCAATAGTGTCATCAACCTCCCATAACAGTTTACAGTCACTATTTAAACTTACCATCACACAGAAAGATGCTAAATGAAAGCAAGTCACCCCAGTCAAGTGAAAACTGGAATAAGAGGCTTTTAAAGTAGGTAGCTGGATTAGTCTGAATGGTGCAGTGTGAAAGCATGGCTGCTTCTATTTTTCTATCACGTTGGGGTACATAATTCAAATAAATGCGTGCTAATGCACCTCTTTCTTCAATCAAATAAAATCAGACAGCAAAGATGAAAGAAGTATCACACAACTTCTGAGACCAGCACACAGAATAGGCAGTTTTCATGCCTTTGCTTTTCCATTGGCAGAGAGAGGGACAAGCTGCCCCAAGACTCCCTTTGGTTCTAGCTGTGTTCGAATAAGGATCAGAATGAAAATTGCTGAATTTACAGCAGATGAAATGAATTGAAGATCTAAGAGAAATTCAAAGTAAGCAACAGGAACTGTTCAAAACTGTATCTGATTTTAATATCCTTTGAAAGACAGCTTTGATAGGTAAGACTTCATTGAAACAGTTTTATATAGTTAAATAAAAAAGGTAACATGAGTAACCAAGGAATGACCACATGCAAAAAAATTCAGTGTCAAAGTCAAATGAAAGCCAATGGTCTTGGATCATTCGTAGGCTATAGAACTGTCTCTACCTTCTAAAGTGTCAACATAAATCACTGCAGTTAGGCTTAGGAAAACCCCTCTGAGGAAACAATCAGACCCATTTTCTTTGGACAAATCAATCTAATAATAATGTTTTTGCTTCCTGCTCCAAAATTAATGTTCTGCTGGGTCAGCCAGATGAGGTGACTCATCCTGCAACCCCATGACTTTTGAGCGTAACACCTTTCAGCTAGAATGAAACAACCTATCCAAACGGAAATAAAATCATCTGTTCTGACATATGCTCCCCCATAACTCTGTTGGCTAAATCACCAGCATTTACTTCAAAAATCCACACAATTCTCCTGTACACACAGCCATCCAGACACGTAAATACATAGTAGGTCAGTACAGTGATATTGATACAGTCCAATTTGCAAATTAATTGCGTTTTTTGCTGCAATGAGACAAGTGAACCAAAGCCTTTCAACTTATCGCCAAGTTCTTCTAGTACCTGAATGGCTGCATTACGATCCTGAGCAGCTTCAAGTTCTTTATTCTTCTCATTCAGTGACTTCAACTGTTCATCTGGTGCATAAAAAGAAACAGTAGTGAGGGATCTCCGCTGTAACACAATGGTGAATTCACTCTCCAAATGCAACTAAGTTCAAATTTCCCTTAACAACATAAAAGAAAAAAAGAATTCAAGACTTCACTATGAAGAGGCATTTATTGTGAAGATCAGTACGTAACCTGCTGCACTATTACTAAAAAAGTGAGAAAGCAAGTTGGTTCTTTTTTTTTTTCCCATTAGAATAAAAACTCCATTTCAAAAAAAGTTGACTTGAACACAAAAGCAAAACACCTCCCCACCTGCAGAAATAACAAATGCAGCTGATGGATGGATTTTCAACTCCTATTTAAAACTTGAAGCATTTCAGCAGAACAGGGAAGTAAAGAATGATTATCTTGTCTGACCTTAAGAACATGCAGTTATACTTACGCAGTTTTTTAAGCTCCTCACGGAAACTTTGACATTCTTGGGTCTCATTTACAAGCCTCTCCTGACTTTGAGCCAGACGCTTTTCTACTTCAAAGTACTGTTGTTCTGCAAAATAACGACATTAATCTCTGTTAATAAACATTTCTTTTTCTTTCCTACATTTATCAAGATGCCTTATTAATGGACATCTTTATTAAAGTATAGTATTTATCACAAAAATATCTAAAAATAATAGGATTAAGGAAGAATTTGAAGAAAAAAATTACTTTTGAAGGCAAAAAGATGCATTTCCACAGTGAATTAATGTTGCTTAAAATACTTTCTTACCATGGAAAGGGATACGTTTCCAGAAATAATCCATAAAAAACCACCCTGCTTAATCTGAATGGTTCTTTAACATTTTTTACATTGCGAAAGAACATTATATTAGCATAATTATGTAGTGTGGTCTCATCAACTTAAAATTTCTTCTACCTTTATTTCTATACACATGCATTAAAATCCACATACACCCAGGTACTAAGGGATTTGATTTAGAAAAAGTTTAATGAACACTTCTTAAAATGAACTCTTGTGCCTATCCTGCATAGCCCACAGCACTGAAAAAAAAAGATGATCTAAATTTTGGTTATCTGAAATAGTAATTGTGTTATAGAGTTTAACTGTAAAATACTTAGTAAAACCAGAACTAACCTCACTCTTAGGCATAGGGAGCTTCTAATGAAGTACTAAGGACTTTTTATTTATCTTATGCTTCCTATCACACCTTACAATTTCAAATAACGCTGCCCCTCCAGCCACACGCAATAACAGATTTGGAAGAGACTAATCTGCAAAAGTCTGTGGGTCACTTTAATTTACACTACACTTTACTGATTTATCTTAGCAAGATTTCTGTCATGAAACAGACCAAAAGGTTAAAGGAAAGGTGAAAATAAAGTTTACATCTTAAGCAAGTCACCTACCCGATAAATTAACCCATATTGCCCAGCACTAGCACTCACCTACACTCTTCTCTCATATCTACTTCAGTTCTTTACAGGTATTATTTTTCTGTGATCAAGTAACCTCCAAATCGATATAAAATAATGTTGATTTTATGAGTAATGTTTTATGTCAAGGTCATAGTGTTCAACATGGAATTTACAGAATCACACGATTATTAAGGTTGGAAAAGACCTCTAAGATTACCAAGTCCAACTGTCAACCCAACACCACCACGACCATTAAGCTACGTCTACAGGTGTTTTGATCAGCTCCAGGGATGATGACTTCACCACCTTCCTGGGCAGCCTGTTCCAGTGCTTCATTGCTTTTTCAGTAAACAAATGTTTCCCAATATCCAATCTAAACCTCCCCTGGTGCAACTTGAGGCCGTTTCCTGCTACTTTTATTGCTTGGGGGAAGAGACCAACCCCCACCTTACTACAACCTCCTTTCAAGTAACTGTAGAAAGCAAGATCTCCCCTCAGCCTCCTCTTCTCCAGGCTAAACAAAAAGTATAAACTAAAAAGCATAAACCTAAGGCTATTTGAAAGTAGCATAAACAAATCATTATTCCACTCCCAGGAGGATCAAAGCAGACTGAAGCATACCAATGCTGGTTAAAAACCTTACAAAAAGCTGCTCTTTGAAACTCACGCTGAAAGCACTTTCAACTCTGAAAAGTCCTGTCTAAAAGGAAAAAAAAAAAAAAAAGACAAACAAGAAACCCCACCAGATTCCTCTTGCTAAGCAAAAGTGAGAGATAAAACCCTTTTAGGTCTCAGCCGAGGGAACCCGGCCAGTGGACACGCCCCCAGCCTCAGGGCTCCTTCCCAGCCAGAGGACGCACACCCCCACGCCGCACAGGCCCCGGGGCACCCCCTCAGAGCGCTGCGAAGCCCGTAAGGGCCGCCCAGGCCCAGCCCTACCCTCGGCCCTCACGCCGGAGGGACCTGCGACACCACCGCTCACTGAAAGCGCG